TCGTATCTAATTGAAGACATTGCATTTTAAAATTTCCCCCCTTGTTCACTATAAATAGGGATAATCCCGAAAAAGTGATGAGTTTTTAAATCAATAAAATTTGACATTTATTTCTATTTCTTAAAACTACTATAACTTTTTAAAAAATGAACGAAACTGAATATTTTTTATGTAACTACCTTAGATATTTTCTTTTCTATTCTTATTCAGTACAAAACATTAACTTTTTCCATTTAAATTTAGTAAAAATTTTATAATCTAAATAAATATCGAAGCATATATCGGAGACTTAAATAGTAAAAATAATAATGGCACATAAACCACAATTCACAAATAAAAAATTTTCCAATTTAGAATATTAGAAAGATAAGTTACATATACTTTAATTAGCATGTAAATTAAAAAATTTTCTAAATGAAAAATTGATTGTTCAATAACAATTTTTGGACTTATATTTCAGAAGTTGTTAATTTTTTTAAACTATATTTATTTTTCAGTTTTTAGTTTTTTTATGACATCGCTGTTACAGTCACAGAGTGTTTATTGTCAATTATCACTACACTGAAAAAAATTAGTACATAATATTAAAAAAAAAGTTCATTAATAAAATAATTTTGGTTATTGATTTGAACCCGATGACACCATTATTGATATAACGAAATATTGATTATTAATATTACGTACGGACCTACCGTAATATTGATAAACAACAATTGTAATATTAATAACTGTTGTTTTTAATACTAAAATATCGTGTACGTAATATCAATAACGGTGTTTTTATAATAAAAACCATTTTTTATAAATATTACAACTAGGATTATTGATTTTAGGTACTGTATTCGTTATATTAATAACTACGATTATAATATAAAATACCAGGATTTTAATATCAATAAACAGTATTCGTTATATTTATAAATGTTTTAAATTACACTTCTAATTATAATTATTATTACTAGTATTACTATAGTATTAATTTTTATAAGAATTAAATATAAAAATTAATTTAATTTAATACAAAAAAATTAATAAAGAAAAGGGGTTAAAGTCCAAAATTACAAGTTTTCAGGATAACAAAAAAAATATTTTTTATTATTACAAAATTAAAAGCTTTAAATAAGCAATAAAGTATTAAACCAATACCATCAAAATATACAGTAAACTTTATTTAACAATTTATTGTATTAATCAACGCATTTATTTATTTTAATTATAAGTAAAAATATAGTTCAAATTAGTATAAAGAATTTAAACAATCAATTATTAATAACAAAAGAATTTATATAAATATCAATTTAACAACTAATTAATGTATAAATTTAAGTTGTTAAATTACATGTATTGGAACAATACTTTAATTATTTAAGTATTGTTCCAATACATGTACTTTAGGAAAACTTAGCTTATCTATGAAATCATAAAAAAAATATTCCAAAAAAGAATAAAATATTACAGATTCATCCGGAAATTTAAAATCAAATAAATAAATGGATTTAAAACAAATATCAAGAGCTTTTATGATACTTTTAAAAATATATCTAACGCCATCCAAATATAGGAAAATCTCATTAATTGATGTTATATTTTCTCCAATACAAAATATAGTGGGCTGGATTGATTTTTTTGATTTTTTCAAGTTTTCAATATGGTCTTCGACCATTTGAATTGTAGATCCAACAAAAATAACGGATTCTTGTGAATCTCGAATAGTGAATTTTATAGTTGTTTTCTGCTTTGTTTTTGGGTCAATCTTAACAAGTTTATTAGTTGGTACAAAATACCCATGCAGTGCCCAAATAATAGCAGCATCTCTTCCGTCTAAAAAATAAATACAATGTAACGTAAATGTTGATAAAACTACACATCAAATTTTTTTTTTTTTTCTCTTACTTTCAGATATTTGATTGTTCATTCTGATAATTTCAATAAGTTTTCTTACATTTTTGTCTTTAACGTTAGAATTAAAAGAAAGGAATAACAACAATTTACTAATATTTTTTTCCCAATTTTCTAAAAGGTCGCCTTTTTTTTCAAAAGCAGCCTCAAAGTCCATGTCAATCTGAAAATTTAAAAATAATAAATTCTTGTTCACTTAATGAATAAAATTTTCAAACTTACTAAACGGTAACCATTTGCTGTTTTATATGCTGGCCATTTATCAAAGATGTCTTTTGTTGTATACTTTTTTATAAAATCAAGGCGTGAATTAAAACATGCCTGCCATGTTCGGTCAAATTCCTCATTACTTAAATTGTCATATTTTAATATTTTTATATAGTTCTCTGAATCTACCTCTGGTTCTAAAAAGTATTATTTAAAAGTTTTACAGCTTTAACTTTATCTATTCCAAAAATAAAGTATTATTTATATTAATATATATATTATAATTGCAATATACCTGAGCATTTTGAATGTCTACTAAACTTTTCAGAATTGACAGGTGATTTCTTGTCTGCCGTTCCAAGAGGTCCAGATACAACTTTAAATGACGTTGCTAAATTGTAATACTTATTATAGATTTTACCCCGTTTAGAAGTTCTATAATACTCCTATAAAAATTAATTATATGTGAGTTAACAAACTTCATTACCACCTAGAAGTATTATTATATTAGTAAATATTAATAAAACATTATTATTATCTTAAAACAAAAAAAAAAAGAAATTACCATAATAGATTTTTTTTTGGAAAAATTTTGATTTGCTTTTTCTTAAAACAATGTTTAAACATGATAATTTTTATTTTATTTTTTTGTCATTAAGTGATTATTAGTTGAATAAAAATTATATATTACCAGTTTCTCAGATGGGAATCTTTCCAAAATTTGTTGTTCTAACTGATACATTTGAAGAATCTGAAGATGTAGAAGGGACGTTAAAATTAATAGGATAGCAATTGCTATTATGTGTTGAATCTAAAACAATATTCCTGCTACTAAGAGAACTACTTGGATTATTTTGATGATGTCTCATGACATGTCTCCTAAATCTTGTTAATAGAGTAAAACCTTGGCCACAATCATTGCATCTAACGAATGAATAATTATTCAACTCGTGCGAATTTTTTAAATGAACTATTAGATTTTCAATATGGTCAAAAGACAATTTACACATGAAACATATCATTTTAATTTCAGTAGAGAATATTGACCAAAGAATTTTTCGGAAGTTTAAAAAATAGTTGAATAAATATAACAAAAGATCAATTTAGTTTAAATATCATTTAAAATATAATAACGTCACTTACCTTGTTTTCTAAGTAAGTTCTCCTAAAAATTTTAATTTGTTCTTTATTTTTTAACACTGCACAGTTGTGTATTTAAACAAGTAACAGGTCAAATGTAATGCTAGCTGATGCTTTGATACACCGTTAAGTTAATTTTGTATAAATGACAAGCGTATTTTCCAAATGACAATTGAAATTGTTGTATCAATGAACTCTTTATTAATATAAAAAAATTATGTAATCGATATAATATTGATAAAAAGTCTTCTTAACTATTACAAAAAGGTTCGTAATATAAATTAACACAGTTGTAATATTAACGAACAATTGTATTTAACATGAATGTCAATCATAAATGTTTTCTTCTTAATAAAAACCGTGTTCATAAAATCAATAAATACAGTTATTCATATAACGAACACTATTATTGATACAACGAAACTCTACGTAATATCAATAATTTTTATTCATTTATCTTAGGAATGACTGATTTGTAATATTAATAAACACAATTTTTGGTATAACGAACTTTTTAAAAAAGTGTCGTTGTTATATTGATAAACGCGAGTTCGTAATATTAATAATCACCTGTTCGTAATATTAATAAAAAAGTTCGTAAAATCAATAAACTTGATCATTTTTGGTCAATAACCGTTGTTTATTAATATTATAAACGACTTTTTTTTCAGTGTAGTAATGGTTATAATTTTTGTATTACCAGTTAGTGTGTTTATAAACTCACAACAATGTGTCTTATTACCATTGATAATAAACGCTATATGCTTGCTAATATCGTCATAAAATACCCAACCTGTATATTAACTCAACAAAATTTGAATCTTTAAATGTTTATATCTAATAATAAACAATACAAATTTGTTTATATATTTATATATATAAATATATATATAATATTGGTCATACGCCCGCATGTTCAGGTACGAAATCCAAAAATGATACAGGAAAATAATGTTGTTGGCGACTGTTGAGCGGAGTGGTGTGAATGCGTTAGACAGTCTAGTCCAAGGCCATAAACGACGAGATACGCGAGATAATAACACGTGGTGTGTGGAGAGTTACAAACAACACACAACACACAAACATGTGTAACATAATTTAAGTGTGTTAAAAATAGACTGGATTTCAGACATGGGTGCTGCCTATTTTGTATAGTTTTCATATAGTTATTTAACTCATGTTAAAAGAATCACCTAGCAACAACAAACAATAATTTAATACATCCTGCAATTTCCCTTAATTATCACGATAGGATGGTGATCATCATTGACAAGCTAGAGAATCAAAGGTTGCATGGTTTGCACCACAGATCATATACTAACAATAAGAAATCACAACAAAAACTTCGTTTGCACACTGGGGATAGGATCGAACCCCGTACGCTAAAACATTCGTTTTGACCCACTAGGCCCGGCCTCTTTATATGTTTTATATTTAATTTTTTAATTAATAATGTATAGTCTCAGATTAGAATGTTATATTAACTTAACTATTAATAAATTATTATATTTAATAAAATATTATAGATATAAAACGTTCTAATTAAATAACGACAACTCCAGTGAAAAAAAGTACAAAGCAAATAAATGTATAATGAGGATTTTATTTACAAAACATATGATAAAAACAATAAAAATGAGTCATGAATATTTGATCATTGATGTGATAACGAAAACAAGTGAAAATATGATCCGACGTCGCAGACAGCAAAACGTCTATAGATGACCGGAAGAACACGCTTATAAACATAGCATTTTATAAATAACTAACTATTTTAGGACTATTCGAGACTTCGCTTAGTATGGTTTGTAAGCTGGTGCTGGGTAAGCGTGCTTGTATGCTGGAGCGANAGCGTGTTTGTATGCTGGAGCAGAGTATGGGGCTGGATTGTATGCTGGAGCGGAGTATGGAGCCTTGTATCCTCCACCGATTTTCTTGACTTCAGCGTTGAAACCGTTGTAGTCGTCGGCAGTGTATTCGACGACGCGGGTGGAACCGTCCGGTTCGACCAAACTGTACGATCCCTTGACGTATCCGTTTCCGTCGGAGTATTCCTGTTGGCTCTTGATGTCGTAGGTGTATTGGTCGTTGACGCTGTACTCGAAGTTATATGGTGCTGGGTGGTATGCGGGTTCTGGAGCGTAGGCCTTTGGCGAAGAGTAACCTGGAGCGGCGTATGCNCTTTGGCGAATAGTAACCTGGAGCAGCGTATGAGGGTTTGTAGGCTGGAGCAGCGTATTGTGAGAGAGCGGAAGCCACACAGGCGGCGAATACGATCATCTGTTACGAACAAAATATATAATTAAAATAAAATCAGTTCGAATGATGAACACTCCAAGTTGGACTTACCTTGGCGGCCATTTTGTTTTATGATTTGGTTTTACACTGTCGATGTGTTTAAAAACTGAACGAGAACACACTGATAGTTTTGAATATCGTCAACATAGTATTTATAGTTAAAAAGTTTGTCGAATATTTCATCCCTCCCAAGTCGAAATGTTTTGGTATCTGCACAAAACCGGTTAATATAATGCACATATACAATATTTTGTATTGTTATTTCATTTCTTAAACGCGTTCTATAAAAATCGGGGATAGACTAAAACACTTATCATACGCCTTGTTTGGTTACTACATCGACGTTAAGTTAAATGCACCACACTCTGTATGCGTTACACATTTTTTTTTCACTCAAAATATGTATAACGTAAGCTAATTTGTTGATTTAAAAATTAAGCTTTTAATTAATAAAATGAATTATATAATTTATGTTGTTTGTGTGAAATTGGGAAGCCTATATTTTTATCATGACAATTGTTTATTTTTTCAATTGTATCTAATATCAGACATTATTCCTGAAAATTTAAAAAAATTTCCAAGTTTTCTGCAAAATAAAGTCCGAAATTTAGTTTTTTCATAATAAAATACATTAAATTATCTTTAATTTAAGATATATATATATATATATATATAAGTGTCAGACTTTCCGGATCACTTTCAAATCCCTCCCTGTGGGCAGGTAAAAGGTCAAATTTATAAAAAAAATATATTAAATAATAGGTAAAGACATCAAGCATCTATAAAAAAAAAATTATATTGATTTGTTCATTATTTGAAAAAGTTATGGCAGTTAAGTAAAAAAGAAATGAAAAAATGTCGAAAGTTAGCAATTTTTAAATTTGTAATTTTTTTGGACATTTCCCCCATTAACGGGAACGAGGGAAATTTTTTCAATTTTTGAGGGTAATATCTTCGACTAGATACGATTTGTGATTCATTGACGTATCGTTGAAAGAAATCGGTTCGGTGAAAGCTAAGAAAAAGTGATAATAGACACAAAAAAAAAAACACATAGTAAAACTAATACCTTCCTAGCTTTGCATCGAAGCTAAAAGTTATGACAAATTTAAGTAAAAGTAAAAACTTAAAAATCGATGATTTTAACACCAAAGTAATATTTTTTTTTCTAACTTCGGGCACCGTTTACATACAGCATTAAAATCGTGTTGACAATTTTTAGCTTCGATGCGTAGCGGAGAAGGTATTAATTTTACCATAATGTGTTTTTTTTTTGGTGTCTGTTGCCACTTTTTCTCAGCTCTCACTGGACCGATTTCTTTGAAAAATACGTCAAAAGATCATAAATCGTATCTAGTTGAAGACATTACCCTTAAAAATTGAAAAAATTTCCCTCGTTCCCCGTAAATGGGGGAAATATCCAAAAAAATTACAAATTTAAAAATCGCTAATTTTCGAAATTTTTTCACTTTTTTTTCTTAAAACTTCCATAACTTTTTGAAAAATCAACAAATC